GGAAAATGTTTTCCATGAACTCAGTTCTCTTTTCACTTCCATCATAAATTCATAAATCTGTGATTAAAGAGGAATTTTAGCAATGAAGTGATAACATTTAAAGTAGGTAACTAAAGTATGAATATCCGAGATAAAAAGGGAGATCTGGAGGAATTCGGTGACTGAGAGCAATAGTGAAATAATGAACTTCTGATTTGTATACCACAACTGTCTCTACCTATTCTATCTACTCCTCAGCCTTTCAGTTCATCCCTCTTATTAATCATGGTCAGAAATGTATGAGGAGCACCTGATAAAGAAACCTTGCCTTCTCTCTCTAAAGCATGAAGACTTTCTGGATGAAGTCACCATATTATACTGGGCATGTGTCACACCCACAGTGAGAAAGGTCATGATTAGAGTGAATGGAAGAGAAGCACGGGGCAGTTCTGTCCCCTAGCTGATTTCCTGCTTCTTGCTGTGAACACACTGGGTGACAATGGCATGGACTCCCTAGATTTGGGAGTCTCAGGCTCCAGGAGTACTTTAGGAGACCAGGGAAATCAGACTGGGTGAGCAGGATAACAGGCTCCCGAAGCCTGCACCGGACGCTCAAGGGAAGCCGTAAAGAGCATTTCCCATGGCTCAATGAAGGATGACAGAACTGAAAGAGAAAAGGTCCAGCAATGCTTTTAAAGATGAAAAAAAAGACCTTTCATGAAGAAATCTTCAAATAAGAAACTAAAAGGAGCGATCAGATGGTAACAGGGAAGACATTTGTAGGTTACGAACTGTGGCCCTGACGGACAAAAATTGCAATGTCATTTCAAGGAGTAAGAATGAAACGTAAATGCTCTTAAATTGTCAAAGGGGTTAAGTCAGAGAACTTGTCAAGAGGAATCCTTTAAAGGGTAAAACAGACTGGTGAAGCAGGTGAAGTGGAGAGTAAAACAGCATAGCGACATAAATGGTCCTTTCCCAAAGCAAGCAAGAAGCTTCTCTATCTGGGGAAGGAGACAAAACAAAGGAAACTGCGGATATGGAAAAGAAAGTGTGGACTGCCAACACCTGAGAAGGAGCTGAGAGGTATAATCAGAGCAGGGAGATACTGACAGCATCTGTGGATGTCATTAGAGGCTTGCACAATCAGTGAATATGTAGTGTGACAGGAAGCAAAGATCTTTAAAGGACACGGTATTATGATCAAAAGAGAGAAAAAGATTGGAAGTAGCCACTCTGCAAGAGGAGAAGAA